AACTGCATATTATGTACAGTAATAAATGTATATGTCATTAGGCATTAATTGCATTAACCTGGTAATTAAATATGCAACATCAAGGTAAACTATTCAGCAACATAGTATCAATGTTACATTTCCCACATTTAGTACATTTTTAATATAGCCTATATATATAAACCACCAACCCCCTCCCACAAAAAAAAATCGAGCGCTTATAAACACGTAACAAAGTAACAAAACATGTCAGAACGCTTTAATATAACAACATGTACTTAATCTGACTTCGTAACATATTAACATAATTCCAAATTCCGTATTAGCTCGTTTATTTAGTTAGACCCTCCTACTGAGAACAGGTTCACCTTAAAGTTCAGCCAATGAGCAGCACGAATCAGTTATCACAACCATTCACGCAGCCGTTACGCGAACTTCTGAGCAAACTTCATTCAAGTTCACGATCAGAAGATTTTAAGCTGATAAGTGCACACGTAAGCATATAGATATATTTTCAAATGATCATGAATATTCATCGGTACAAGTCCTACCTTTGAGTCTCCCATAGCCTACACGTAAACGCCTGCGTGCGGATCTTAGCATATGTCCATATTCTCAGTCCCCTTTTACTTCCAGCAGACAAGTTTTATTCTTTTTATATAACACCTGCAACGCTTTATTTGCTTTGATTGCTATTTTCCCTCCTTTATCAATCTAGTTCAGTGGAGCAGAGGTTGCTCTCCTTTTTTTGTTGTCGTCTAAACCGTTTAGTTTTGGATGATCGGTCAAAGGTTGTGAAAAGCAGCGGGGAGAGGCTGGACGCCCAGCCGAGGAGGGAACGCAGGAGGCCGGACAGATCTAGTGGGCTGCATCGACGAAACGGACCATTAGACAGGGAAAAGCCATGGCTCACAGCTCTGGTCGATCAGGTAAGCGCAGGGCTCTCTTTTCGTCTCGCCAAACAGTGTGAGTGTTTATTTTCTAGCGGTAGGGGTGAGTCGCCGTCAGCTCAGGTAAGAACATACAGTAGGTGTACTTTACAAACGCAAACTACTTGACCAGCGACTAACCTTTATTGACCGCCCTATAATGTTGCAAGTCTGCTCTTACGGTAGTTCTTTGCGTGCTGAAAAGTCTGGCATTTGCCTTGTAAATCTGTACATTTAAAGTGGCAACTGATTCACGCTGGGATTATGCTATTATGCGATGTTATTAGCTGGGCCCGTGTGTTGACATAACTGCTCACTGTAATCCATAATAGTATTACTACGGGATCTCCCATTGAATCATTCAAATATTAATTTCCCCCTAACATCAGCCTTTTTGCGATTGCATAGTTTTATGGCAATATTAACATTACATAAATGAATATTTCCAACGTTATTATTATTATTACTACTAGTACTGTCGTTGTTGTTATTAATATTAGGCTACTGTTGTTGTCGTTGTTGTTTATGATGTTCGGTTAATTGAAAACATAGATCATATGCTAATCCACTTTTCTATTTTGGGTGTAAATGCGAAGATCAATATAACACTTGTAATAATCTAATTAATTATGGTAAAATTAAAAGCAAGTACAAAATCAATCTCTGATGCTGTGGACAGAACTCAATTGATGGTCCATCTGTTCCCTCTATAGACATCATGAATGGGTAATCTAAAGACACAGCTGATATCATGACTGCGTTGTGAATGCCGTTTTGTTGTTTTGGTTACAGCGGTCAAATTTTTGCAACCTTCATATTTTGGTTTATTGAGGTATTGGATTTTAAAACATCTCAATTGTAATTAATTTATCGATAAAATAGTTTTTGTATAATTTAGGTATTGTGCAAAACACTATTATCATTATTATTATATTATCATTACTATTATTATTACTATTAATGCCAGTGTTATTTGCAAAATTCTTCTATCTGTTTAATTTCTGTGATAGCCTACTCTAAACTTGACCAGAGATTGTTTAAACTTTTTTCAGTTCTAACTTTTTTTCCCAAGGAAAAAAATCTGTTTTTTTGTTTTTTTTTCGGCGTTTGTGATAACTCAATACCTCTCGAAAAACACAACTAAATACGCTATTTTAAAACAATCCGGCGACTGAAATTCGCAGTAAGCGTATCAGACTTCTTAAAATTCCATTATGGGTTACTCCTGCTGTAAAAGCTAAGGATACTTGCATTCAGCTCCAGCACACTGACGTGGACAGCAGGTTTAGTGGAGTGGAAAGTATCGATTGGTGACGTTGAGAATATTACAGTGAATGAGATGAAACCTATGGGCTTTTTAAAAGTGGGAATAGAAATATTGGATAGTGGAACAGAAGTGATTTTCTGCGTTCTCATTGGACGTTCATCGCTGTTCACTTTGACTAACAAACTTATGTGGCGTATAGCAGAGGCTGTCAAAACAGATGCACTATACCACTGCACCTTCTCTCTCTTTCTCTGTCTGTCTCTCTCTTTGACATGTTCGATTACTCTCTCCAAAACCTCATGGGTAGGTCTAAAAAAAGAATGCAAAATGTAAAACGTGTTTTCAAACAAACCAGACCTTTACATTTTTTTTTTTTTTTTTGCATGTTTCTTGTTTATTTAAAATGGCACGCTTGCAATTTACCTTTTCCCTTGCCCAGCTGTGATAGGACGGTAATATTATAGGAAAACTATATATATATATATATATATGTGTGTGTGTGTGTGTGTGTGTGTGTGTATATAAACATCGAGGAGCCACATGAAATATAATTTTATATTGTAGCACAGAAAAAGTCTCAATATCCCGCTTTTAGTATTCAATGGCCACTGTGATCAGTTGCAATTAGTTTTCCTATCTTTTAACAGAGGAAGTAACTAATATAGTAAAAGGGAGTGGAGGCAAAAAGCTGGGGTCTTGCGGGGAAATAAAAACAGCTTTAGGGGAAATGTGTAGTCGAGTGTGAAATTACAGCCCATGGTGTTACATATTGTACCAGAAGCTCCCTCCAAAAATACTAACAAAAAGAAGAATCGTCCCCAAATTTAACCTGAAGGCATAACATAACATAGCCTCCTGTTCTTTTAGCCGAACCTACAACGGTCACAGGTCGAACACTTCATAAATCTGTAAGATCCTTCTTCAGTCAAGCACTTTTTACTAATTACTACAAGCATTTTTGTTTTAAACACAGCATTTGTAGTGCTTAAATTCAGATCTGTGCGTACGTGCAATTTTACAAAAAAAGAAAGAAAGAAAAAGAAAACAGTAAAAACAATAATAATGGCAACAACGATAACAGTGATAACAGTTACAGCAATAACTGAGTGCGATGCGTAAAATTAGTGCATACCATTGTATTTGAATTTTAACTGTTAAAAAAATTAAAATAATTTTTTTTCATAAAAAAATATGAAATTTAAGACGATAGCACGCTGACTTTATCGCCTGCTTTAAAAAGTGATAAAAAGTAAACATGATCACAATATGTTCCAGGATCTAAAAACTTATTCTGAAATAGCTTTTTTTTCTGAGACAAGTACCTATATAAACATTTTATATCGATTTATTAGAAATGTTGCCTAGATAGATAGATAGATAGATAGATAGATAGAATTGGTTTAAAATAAAAATAGCGAAAAGATAGAAGAGTCTAAAATAATAATAAAAAATAGCGAAGCGTCAACTGAAGCACATGGGTACACTCAGTGATTAACTATTGCATAAACAAACGGACAAAACCACGAGTCAACGATGAACAACCATCGATTTCAGTTCTACAAAACATTTTTTCTTATATATCTGAGCAAAAATAACATGAAAAATAAATAAAAATAAGAAAATAAATAAAACCTACCTCACTAACAAACATTAAGTTAATCAACAATCAAAAATGTTGTTGGGTAGCCATAAAACAAACTTCAAGAGCCTCCCTCAGTCAAATAAAGCAAACTAAGCAGCGCCATCTACAGAAATACCTACAAGACAGCAGTTCAAACAGCATGGTCAAGACACAATCCTTTTACTCACATTTGACAGGCCAGCGAACTTAGTAGTGTTGTTACAGTACCAAAAGCAATGATAATATTTATAATTCTCGATTGTCATATAGCTGTCAGATGCAGCAAATATTTGTCAGAAATTCAGATTGTAGGCTATATTTATATCTGTACATTGCGTATATTTATGCTTTATATTATTGTTTACATTTTTCGTATTTCCTGTTTTAGAAAATAAATGCCAAAATATTGCTTAATTTATTATTTAACGCCAATGCATTAGCCTACAATCGATGTTCGGTGGAAAAATGTGAAAACACCCGACAAGACCTAATTGAAAGAAAAACAGACAGTAGAAATTGAAAACATTGTTATAAAGATTAAGACGTTCCTTCATCTTAAAATAGTCTCATCTTGACAACATTATGCCCATCAACAACACAACATTTTTTACATTCAGTCTACGTTTAGGTCACCAATATGATTCAAACATGATTCATGTAGTTTGACAACATACAGTTTAGAAATACCGCGATGCCTGGCCGCTGCTGGTACCGCTTCCTTTCCACTTGTCTTTTAATTTCCTCGATTTTTTTTAACCCATCTCTGCTCATTTCCCTGTTTGCATCCCTCCCCTTCCGAAGTGTCAGATGAAGAGACCTCCTCATTTGGTGCTCCAGCTTTTTGCGTTGGCGAATCACAAAGTGTTGGAATCTATTGCCTTTGTCTGACATGTCATCCATCTCTATGCGAGGGGGGATCTGGGAAGGAGGGGGGCGGTGGACTGCAGCTTTTAGAAACAGACACACTGAGAAGAGGGGTTTCAGTCTCAGCCCAAAGCTTCTAACAGGCACATCCCATTCTTGAAGAGAGGGGGACCGAGAGACACTCGCCGTGTCCATGTTTTTTCCTGTCATCCCCGCTCGAATCTGACTGTACCCCTCAGACTTTACCAGAAACGCTTCTCCAATATCGAGGAATTTACACTGCAGTTTCATCAGAGGACACTGGAGGAGACGCAACCACTAATGTTTGCTTTCCCTTAAATATGTAGCTAACAAATATTAACTGAACGACTGATTACGCTAACGTTCCTGCGTAAAATATTTTTTTTTGAGAGACCAGTGCAGGACATGATCTGCACCTGACCAGCCTCGTGTCTTCACTGAATGGACTGATCAGCACGAGATAAAGTTCGTCGCGCGCTGAAGAACTTCTGTTCACTGGCATCGGAAGCACTGCGCTTTTAACGGATAGCGATCTTTATTAATTCCAATTAAAGCTACATAATCAAGGCGAGACGGCGACCTCAGTCGATTATCTTTCCTTCCTTTGCTATCCCATGGATATTCACTGCAAAGCAGACCCCTTCTCGGCGATGCACCGTGAGTAAAATATCAGTATTTTCCTTAAAAATCTCTACCTCGGTTAGCATAAATAAAGTCTAAATTGTTCATCGTTTCGGTAGAGTTGGCTTTGTAAGACTATATAACCTTTGCGCGTTAAGCTATTTACTCTTACTAAGTTTTCCAAAGCTCTTACAAGAAATGTAGGAAATTATTGTTTAAATATTTTTATACTTTGACGCTCAGTAAAGCGAATACGAAAAGTAGTCACCGCGAATAAAAATACGATCGCTTCTTATATTTAGCGGCCTTTAAATCGTTTGTTCAAAAAGTCGATTACAATATTTAGCTTAATTTTAAATTAATTATTCTGCCTTGTATGTAAAACGTAAATGATTATGATATTATAAACAATACATTTATTATTTTTAACTTCATTATCTGAGTAAATTACCGGTACATGTGGGATGGCAACAGATGTAGTTACAGCAAGAATATAAATATAAATCAAAATCGCCAGAAATGTCTAACATGTGCCAACACAATAATACCAGATGAATTGCAAAAGATTAAATTATTATACAAAACACTGTCTTTAAAAGCTCTGCATTTTAAAGCGAGGAATTTCTAATGGAAATAAATATGCTCTACATTTTAAAAATCAGAGAAAATGCCTGATGTTTGCCATAATAATTTGAAAGAGTTGTTTGTGCGATATTTGTTGAAAACACCGTATTGTAACAAGATGACGGAAGGCCTGGGTCTAATTTAAATAATTAATTCTTAATTATTTTGCAGTAGCCTACTCCATGGTTGTAATATGAGTTATCAAAGCTCTTTTTAATTATTTACAATAATCGTGCAAGGAAAATTAAACAGGTTGAAACATAATCTATGCGACATGTGTTTGGCTGCAATGGAATAGTAGAGGAAAATACTACCTAACTGCAGCGGGTCTTATGGGTAGAATAGCACATGACGTTTGCAGTGTTTACAATCATGAGTGCGTATAAAAAGATGGTTATGTTTGTATTATTATTATTATTATTACAATAGTAGATATTTATCGTGCTATTGTGCTGACAAAATATATCTATAAACATAAAGAAATTAATTGAACTAACTATAAATTAAAAACTACTGTCCAACGTGCAAAATTAATTTGTTTTAACTTTATGAGGAAAACATTAACTGTCGCCGCGTGAACCTTTCAATAGCCTTTTTTTATATTGTCATAGTACAACAACAACAACAAAAACAGTACAAATAAATATAAAAAGAACTGGGACGTCAAGACCTTTTACGGATACATTTTCCATCATGTTTCTTAGTTAAGATAAACATTATAGCCTAACTATCTTATTGTTTATCGTTGTCCACATGGGCACAGGTATGTGTGTGTGTGCGTGCGCGCTTCCATGCGGAGAGTGTTAAAAGGGAGAAAGAGAGAAAGGGTGAGGGGAGAAAGAGAAAATTAAACGCTTCTGTATGGTAGCCATGTTAACGGCGCAGCCTATCTTTCTATATGTATGTAATGTTATGCTTTTTGTGTCTGTGTTGTTGTATCCCATATAGGGCACGGCGGTGTGAACCAGCTAGGAGGGGTGTTTGTGAATGGCAGACCCCTACCTGACGTGGTCAGGCAAAGAATCGTGGAGCTCGCGCACCAAGGAGTCAGACCTTGTGACATCTCAAGACAACTACGGGTCAGCCATGGCTGTGTCAGCAAAATTCTCGGAAGGTACGAAAAAGTACAGATGTAGTAAATTTGTCCAGTTATAGGCCTACACGTGTAGAAATAACAATAGTAATGAAATGTTTGCTTCATGTAAATAAACATCTTAAACATTATTGTACTGTGATTTGTCGTATTAGTAAGTTTTTCCCTTTTAGTGAAAAGGTCTAATATTAAACATTTCTGACCTTAAATTCATTGTTGAGGAGGAAGGATATGTTTTCTAGGAAACTGTTATAGATTTTTGAATTTTCTGAAATATTTTTCAGCTATCAAAAGGATCTTATAAGGTATTCTGCACTTTAAATGTTCCTTAGAAATTATGAGATATGTGTTGGTGGCATGTATTAATCGTGGGGTGCATGGGACACATCAGTCGCTAAAGAAACCGTTTGATAAATGGATGATTACGATTTTAGATCGCAGCATACGAACGTTAATGATTCAACACGGAAAACATATCAAATGTAGGCTAGGCCTAGGTGTTAAAATAAAAATGACACATTTTCCCGTCAGCAAGGGTTGGGAAGAAAAATCACACATGATAATTTAAAACTCAAATAAATAAATAAATAAATATATTAAATATATTAAATTAACAGATTATATAACTAGCCTATTTATGACCCGTATCCATAACGCACTGTTTATAAATATGCTCAATGCCACACGCTAGCAAACAAAGAAGAAGAAAAAAAACCCAGTACTCTGACATGTAAGGAATTTTTTAAATAACGAATTATCGTTCATCTTTTTCCAGATACTATGAAACCGGCAGTATTAAACCTGGAGTTATTGGGGGTTCCAAACCAAAAGTGGCGACGCCCAAAGTTGTGGATAAAATCGCAGAATACAAGCGGCAGAATCCCACAATGTTCGCCTGGGAGATCAGAGACCGACTCCTGGCCGAGGGCGTTTGTGACAACGACACAGTACCAAGTGTTTCATCTATAAACAGGTAAAGCCATTTGAATTTCGATTTTCAGTTTTGAAATTTCGAATTAATTTGAAAGCATGATGTCCAAGACAGAACAGAACTATTAATTCCGTTCTCTACTGACCTTCAGCAGTACTGTTATTAAAACGGCGACTCCTAACACTTACGGCCAAATTATCATCAGCTAATTTGAAAACCCTTTAGAGGCCTTGTACAGAAAACTACACATCGTTTCCAATTGACAATGCGTATTCAATGGGTGACGTTTTTTTTTTTTTTTTTAATTCTTGCTCTCGGGGTGGTCTCAAATGTGCAATTCAATCCCAAATCTGTCCACAGCCTGCAGAGGATCTATAGTTGAGGTCGCGAAAATCACATCTGCCCCGCTGAAAACCAATCAATACTCTGTAACCAGATCCAGTTGCACTGGGAAATACGCGACTAGACATAACTGCCTTATACGGAATCTCAGTAGTTCTAATATATATATAGTACGCAAGACAAAAAAAAAAAGTTAAGGTATTTAAACGGGTTTGAAAAAAGGCGATGTGTATTTTTTTATATTTTCTACTTATTTTAACTATAAAAAATAACAACAACAATAATAATAATAATAATAATTATTATTATTATTAAACAAGAATAGTGTAGTAAAATTATGTAATAATTTGAAATATTGTGGGTGTGTAACTGGGCTTCTACCTCAGCAATTTCAGTGAGCTATTAAACTTAGCAAGGACTAACAAACAAGTCATTGTCATTTAGTTCTTATGTTATCATAAATAATGCAAGGCAGATCACATGCAGCCCCACTTTGCTTATGCCTACCTACATTAAATCAGTCAGCTGAAAATAAAAAGTCCTAACAATTAGTTACCATTCTTTTTCTTATTTCTCATTAAAATACAAAGGCTAGCAAGACTATCCCAAGTGAGATGGAGTCGTGGTGGTGGGAGGGGGGCGGAAGAGTGGAAGAACAAGGTGAAAAAGGCCTACCTGCAAGCAGGAGTAATGAACTTTGGTTAGGAGGCACTGTTCCATAGAGCTGGCCAGCAGCATTACATTTTAATGAGCTGAAGAGAGATCATGGGCCGACCCACACAAGACATTTCCTAGGGAAAAAAAAAAAGAGTGAGGCTGAAAAAATTCATTTCATGCACTATGGCTGCTTAAAAAGGGCAATTTGAACAGGTCTCAACACATGTATGCGGTAAATTTTTAATCTGCATTAATGACATGAAAGAAGAGCCAATAAACCTTCGTTTCCAATGTTGTTCAAGTTGTCATCTCAGAGGAGGCCATTGTAAGGACCTCTGTTTATGTATAAAATTAATATGTATAATGATGTAGCTGGAATTTATTTCAACTGCTATTCTGAATCATACAAAGTTGGGTTTTCTGTGCTCAAGGAACACATATAGGATAAAAGTACCTGAGCTAATCATTTCAAAACTTGCCTGTATTATTGAATAAAATTGGATTTGTTACAGTAAACACTAGAACACTCTTCTTTAACTTTGATACTGCTGAAAGCAGGCAAGTGCAAACAAAATGCAAATACAATATTTTAACACTTCCTATGATCATAACAGAACATTTAACACAGGCTGCAGTCGCCTAGTCAAGCTGTAAGCCTTGTGCCATTTCAAACAGGTGTTCTTGTACCGTCTAAAAGTATTCCCTCACCAGTGAGCAGACTTCAGAGGCAGGACCCTCATGCACTGAGCGCTTAAGAGGTTGACCTCTGCTCTGTTGACATTAGAAGATGTCCCAGCTTTAAGCACATTTTCTCTGCATGAATTATTAAAGATTACACACTGTCTGGGGTGTTCTCTGTGTCCTCCTCACAGCATGAAGTCACTGGCACACAACCAGTTCTGAGCCCTTCTATCGCCTGAATCCTAAGCGTCCTTTCAATAGCATCGATTCATATTTTAATATTTCTACAGGGAATTCTAAGCACCCTGGCAAGTCATTAATTCACACCTTCCAAATAGCTCATTCGATAGCGAGAACATGGATCCAAGCTATTGAATTTGTGTGGCTAATGCAAATCGTAGGGTTAAATCATTGTTTGGTTGGATGTTAAAAAATTCACACAATACTTATAATACTTAAATAGATTTTGCTATATAGATTTTTTTTTTTTTTTTTACTAAAAATATAATTTTTTAAATCTTGCCAGTTCACTTCACTCAAATCATCAGCACATACGGAATAAGGATTTCCTTAGTAATGAAATTTACATCCATGTTATAGTTTATACAAATGTGAAAATGTGTAGCCAACGAGTATAAATGTGTTCCTGGAATAAGGTGACAGCTTCTTCTCTCAAAAGCGTGTCCCAGATTAAAGACATCAGATGCTGCAGTGGGCTTTGGTGAAGCAATGAGACACTATTGCTTTCCTGTCACATATAATTTATAGCCCTCCATTTGCATCTGTTCTTCTCTGCCTCTAATTCCCAACTTTTTTTTATCCCCAAGTCCCAATCAATAGGACCTCATCCGCACTGGCACCCCTGAATGTTTGTGCTAGAAAAAAAAATTTCGGATCTGGGAAGTCAGTATCTACACTCTACAAGCAATCTTCACTTGCTTCAGTGAGGAGGAGGATAGAGGGAGAGATTGAGATAGATAAAGAAGGAGAGAGGGAGAGAGAGGGAGATTATTAAAGCTGAGGCCAGTTCGAGGCAGTGAAGCTCATCATTGAGGTGAATTGATGTGATTTCATGCTTTGTTTGCAAGATCATTCAGACCAAAGTGCAATGAAGACTTTCCCCCATATCACACCTTCGAGGTAGTGGGACTTTATCATATTTCTAAAGATGGGATCCCATTTGATTGAATCCACTCTCTCCGCGGTAGCTCCCACTCTGCCTCGCACATCTACTCCATGATTGGCCCTAATACCCCAAGATTGGTTATTTGTGACAGAATCAGTGCATCTATATAGCAAGGCCCCAAAACAACACTAGAGTTTTACACAGGCATTGGGTCGCATCAGGCTGTGTGAAAGCTTACCGTAAAGTGATCCAGCCAACCAGCTGCAACTTCGATTCATCGTGTTCTTTTAACTGTCATTTCGTAGGATAATTCGAACCAAAGTTCAGCAGCCTTTCCATCCATCCTCTGACGGTACAGGAACGCCTCTCACCACAGCGGGACACACTATAGGTGAGACAGCATATACTGTATTTTGCATATAAACATAAAAATTGTAATGACATCAATTATGCCTGTGACCTAATGTTAATTCATTCTCTTTTAAGGTGATCTTGAGAGCACTCCATATACGTTAACCTATTCCTGTGCTCTTTCAGTGCCCAGCACAGCCTCCCCACCTGTGTCAAGCGCTTCCAATGACCCTGTGGGGTCCTACTCTATTAATGGCATCCTAGGAATCCCTCGCTCCAATGGCGAAAAGAGAAAACGCGATGATGGTAAGAGACTGGATTTCTCTCCATCGCTTTTATTCCCCTTTCACTCCTTTTCTAGGCCTCTCTACAGCCCCCTGTAATTTCCAATTTGTGTGGGGAGATGAAGATGGCATTTTGATAGCACTGGACAAAGCATTTTGTAAAAGAAAAAAGCGCTCTCAAGTGACTTGTTATGTAGTAAAGCAGATTGGACTATTTCATTCAGCCGCTTGATACTATGGTGTTTGCACGGCTATAGCACATTTTATTTGATGATACAGTAGCTCTGCGCAAACAAGAATATGCCTACATGCTATCATTTGGTCTGAATCATGACAGCATAACGCTTAGGTAGTGTGTCAGGGATACGGCTTTATGCTTTTTGTAAATAATACAGGTCAACGAAATGAAGACAAAGAAATCAGCAATGTAAATACAAGAGATGCATGAGGAAATGTGCTCAGAACCGACTGGAAATGCAGAATGCAATGCAAAAACGGCCTGATGTGCGATTTATAATTGACTTCTAAAGACATATTCTGATGTTTTAATTTCTCACAATTTTCTGGCTGTGTATTTTTTGGTTTTGAAGAACTGAAATAGCGGCAAAATGGGGGCTGCCAACCTGCTCATGCCAACATTCTCTCTCCTTTTCTAAATGAGAGGGCACATACCGCCTGAGGCCTAATGGCTGATCGGCTCTTCATACAATCGCCTTTTGAATGCTAGTGAATAAACATCCATGTGGCACCGGGCCGAACGGGAACACAGAAAGTGCTGTAGTCAAAGGGAGGTTGAAGTGGTTGAAAATTATCTCTTAAAACATTTATCAAAGCAGGGCTACTTGCTTCTTTTATGTTTCCATCTCTTTAGTTCTCTGGAGTGGCAACCACTTGGATGGGAGGAAAATAGGATATTGTAAGTTCCGTTAGCCCACCTTCTCTTTGCTTGCTCAATCACAAGCCACTCGAGTCTGATCAAGTGCTCTGTGAGGGTGTGTGTGAGTGTGTGTGTGCATGTGTACGTGTAGGGTTGTGTGTCGAGGGGAGGGGGATGAGACTGAGCGCACTGACGCTTAATGATATCTTTATGGAGAGAGCTCTGGATCATATATAAACACTGTGAGAAAGCGACTGTGGCAAATCACATTTGCTACAGCGTGGAAAGCTCTTACCGAGACCGTCGTGGGGCTTTTCCTCTGTCACTGTCATAGGCCGTTTGCTCCTAAAAACAGAGAAGGGACATAACATAAGCGAGAGGGGATTACCCAGCTAAACGGCAGCGGCGGTAGTTATTCCTAGTTTGATTAGAACTGACACAACGTGAAGAGTGGATGAAGGGCTTGAGTGTAATTGCATCATAAAACACTAGGCGGGAAAACACGAGTTTACTTGTGTGCACAATATCAAATTTAATACTGCTTCAGCGAGGATTGCCTTTCATTATAACGACTAGAGTAAATATTCCCATCGTTGCCAATGTGTTTCCCTCCTCTGGCATCGCACAACCTTATGCAGGTCTCTCAAGGTGTACCGAGACATTTGTAGGGCATATGTCATGCCGTGTCCCTGATGAAGAGCTCATGGCTGGTAATTTGATACAGTGCCAAATGTCTAAAAAGCTTTGTGTTATTTAAACTTAGCCCTTATTTCACACCGAGACATCAGGGAGGCAGAGCGACAGCCAGTGTATGGTTTCAATTTCATAGCAGCCCAGCAGCCTTGGGCTACCTGAGCCTTATTTGGCTGGGCGCAGCCAATCTTCCCTTCATTAGATGATGACATAACAGAAATATGCTAATCCGATTTTAGGAAGAGCTGTGCAGATGCACTTTGAAACACGTAACGTGTGAAATGAGGTTAAAACCAGCCAGTTCTGGGGTGGTGTAATGAGTTAGCGTTTGATTTAAAAGATGTAGGCTTCCGCAGTCTTTATATTTGATGATGCTAGTGCCCTTTAAAAAAAAAAAGGGTCCCCCATTACAAGAGTGATATGGAGATAATGTAGTGTGACACGCGTTATGTACACCAGGTCTTTGCAAGAGGAGCTTCAGGGACACAGGTGTCATAAGAGTCATTAATCTGTCATTTTCATGTGTTATTGCAAATTAAAAGTAGCGTGTTACTCGCCGGCTACGGGTGACGTTCGGCGAAGCATGGACCGTCGGAGGAAGGGAGGGAGAGAGGGAGAAGGAGGTAGGGGTAGGGGTTTGGGTTGGGAGCCTCCCAAGATTAGTTCTTTGGTGGCAATAGCTCCCCGCAAGTTGAACATAGTGACATTTAAGAGAATTTGCAATTCTGCAGAGAAAAGCTATTAATTCACAAATTAGCACCCCTTCCCTCTATCATGGATGTGCAAGCTATTGAGGAGACAAAAGAAATAGCCTAAAGGGGAAGAGAGAGACACAGCCCTATCTGTGTAAAGATTGGTTTATATGTCTGCAAGCAGTGATACCAATTATGCCAGCACAGAGAATGCGCCTCAACCTTATTGCTGCCTTCACAGGCCCTTCAATCCATTGCCAGATTTATTTGTGTATCTCATTATGGAAAATAGAATGCTTCTCTTGCCAAATGCATTAATGGCAAAAGAGGGAAATTAAGCTTGTTTGGGATTTCTCATTTGTCAAAGTTAATACTTTGTTACAAAATGGCACAAATGAATGAACTGAGTTAATTACTAGCGGTACAGGCACAAGTTGCGTATTTCCACGCTGTTTTGTTCTCACCCGTTTTGTGTAACCCGGCTCTCTTCCATCTGTATGAAACCAAACATAACCTACATAGGGAGCAGGCCGATTGCAATAAATTGCGTGCGAAAACACAGACTTGACGCTTGAATCAGCTGTGGGAGCGTGCGTTCACATGAAAGAAATGAAAGTGGGTTGATTTATAAGACCTAGCCGCATATTTATTTGACGTTAGCACGATAAAGAGATTACATCCGTGCCATTGTGGTACAAGAACGCAAAAGTTTCACTTATAGCTTGTTTGTTCATCTAAAAGTATTGCTTTGAGAGTGAGCGACAACACACTTCAAATCCCCATGCTAAAATAGTTTGGCCCACAGCGAGAATGCTTTAACCTGTGCTTCCATTTCATGGCCTGTGAGATTCTATTGTGTCAATATGGATTCTACTTTAAAAAAGAATAGAAATGAAATACATCCAAACCAAGAAATGGATTGGCCTCAGTCTAAATCGAATAAGAACATCCCACCGATCTCATCATGATGATAGCCTCTGTATGAAAGAGAAAGACCAGATTTGAAAGAGGCTGCCGAGCGTAACCAGCAGAGAAGAAGGTGCCGGGCTCCTTATCAAAGGACACAAAAGGTCTATGCCCCCGCTCGGCTGATACATCTGCATTCAAGCAGACCCGCTGCCCCGGCCTGGCCGATAGCTCAAACGTGAAAATCTGCAGCACGAAAACATCTAAGGACAGGGTGGTTCGCTCGAGGAGGAATCATGTCAGGGAAAAGTCAATTATGAACGCTGATGCTGAGAATTAATGGTGCGCCGCATTACGCAGATTTTAAAAGGAAAGAGAGCGAGAGCGAGGGAGATACGCATTCATTAATTGCGTTCCAGAACGTTGCGTCACATGAGGCCGATGTGCTAAATGACGGACCGGGTGTGAGTACAGTATGGGTGAGAGGAGAAACCCATGATGACAGCGGTAGCCTGAGAAAAGAAAAAAGGAGAGAAAGCGCAGCTCCTACTTGCAGCCTGCACACTGCTCAGCAACGCTAAATTGAATTAATAAAGCCTTTAAACACGCTGTAACATAACAGGAAATTAACAACCCCGGTTGTGCAGCTGCTGCTGCTGCCACCTCGCTCTTTCTCTCCTTCCATCTCTCTCTTGTTCTTTCTCCCATTGTCTCGTCTTCTTCTGATTTAGTTATGTGCTGTGCAGCCTTGCCGCACCGTAGATTTCATAAATAGGGGTGCCAAGCCTCTTTTCCTATTTGCTTCTCCAGCCTATATAATGAGTGCATACCCACACAAATTCCTAGTTTTTGAGCAAGTATAAAAAAGTTACTTTTTCGTTAGATAAAAAAAAAAATTTCAATAGGAACACTCAACTTCAGGCTTAAAGGGACAGTTCATCCAAAAATTTTAATTCTATTATTTACTCACCCTCATGTTGTTTAAAACCTTTATATTTTTTCTTTAAATCCATACATTGAAAGTCAATAGGGTCCCAAACATTGAAACAATTCTTCAAAACATTTTAACAGAAGAAAGTCACAGCAAAATGATGACAGAGGTTTTATTTTTGGGTGAACTACCCCTATATGAGTGGATGTGTGATATCAGGTCAAGGGTCACAGGGGTCACGAGACCCTCATTTGCTTTTCAAAAAGCTCCCTCATCCAAACCAGCCTTATCTGATGAGATGAAAGCAGGAAGCTCAGCACTGTTCTCTTAAAAGTATGTCACACCTGCCCGGTCAACCCTAAACACACACGTCCTAAACCTAATATATTCCCTCAGAGTTCATATCACAAATTTAGGACATTCCACTTTAAAATATACAAAAGCACTTACATGTACGGACATTGACTACGTACAGTGCATCTATTAAAATGACAAGTTCACCATGATAAGCCCTTGACTGTCTCTTGTTCTTAGTTTTATTTGAACTGGACTCTCCAGAGGAGGAAGCCCAGGGGAGGCCTGTTTTATGGACTCTGGTTATCTGATCTGACAGAGCTCTAGTCCCATAGCACCAGAGTGCTAATGCAGTGGGATGTCAAAACAAACACACTCAAGTGTTCAAATGAAATCAATATAGCACGAGCACTGATGAAAACAGGAGCCATATACTGTACATAGTCTAGACAGCATCACCACATTCAGACTGACTCTCTGTTAAACGTTCAAAAAACTCCAGTGAGAAATGCTGATCTAACCTAAATCTCCCCTAACTGTAACGTAATGGAGAGCAGCCCAGCCCCCACAGCTCAAACCGCGGCTCCGTCCCCTGTGTCAACTAGCGGCCCTGCGCGCTTTGGGCTTTTGAGTATGGGAAACATGCTGCACCGAAGCAAATGACGAACGCCTGCTTATTGATCGCAGTTTGCACTTAGACCAGCTGATAGAAAGTAATTAATGACTCTATTTTCTGTACCAAAGAGAACAATTGAGGTTTATATGGCAACAACACACAGACTTATAGAAGGCCCCCAAGGGAACTGTCTATAAAAAAAGCCTCTGATCAAAAAAAATTACTCAGATAATACGAAAAGAAAAAACACAACAAAACAACCACAACTGGAATTAATAGGAAGAGAAAAAATGTCACCTCAGTGTAGCTTAAATACACACTCACACACACGTAATATCTCCCAGTCTCTTATCAGACCTCTCTGTGGATCTATTTCTCCTAAAAGTCAGTTCATCCTGTGGCCTCAGCCATTGAAAAAAGGTCAAGCTGGTGGGTAGAATGGCAATAAACCCCCTGAAATGGTACTATCAGTGGAACATGATTGATCAATTGAATTCCATAGCACAGAAAAATGTGGGATTAAGTAGAGTATTATACGCACAATGAGTTGAGGCATGATGTTCATTTCAAGTTCATTTCGCCTCTCTCCTGCCACCAGATCAGGCAATCAATAGGGGCCTTGCATATCATATATCACTACGCTCTCGCCGAGGAGAGAACATAATCTGCTGCAAATTTAGAATGACAGATTTGTAAGGGAGCAAAAAAAGCCCCTCCACCACCAGAAACACGGGAGGCGGGAGGCTGCCGGCCCGACTGCCGAGGTTGCACGAACGTTTGCCGAATGTTTGCGGAAGGGCTTCCGGAATAGCAAAATGAGGAGCCGGGGAAAGAAGGCTACCTGCTTCGGCAGGGTGATGAGGTCACGGTCTGAGGGGAAACTGTTCATTTGTTTATAGAGAGCGAGATGGAGGGAAATGCATAAGCTGGCAGTCAAGCTGTGTAATTGTATTCAAGCCGGCACTGGCCTCCCATTTTTCCAGGGAAAAGCAATCTGAAAGTGAAAGCAGCATTACATTCTAAAGGAAATTGTGCCTTTTAAATAATAGCTCTCCATTTTCCACCAGCCCACTGACGGGAAAGAGAACAAGGTGGCTCACGCTAAAACACATGGCGTTCCCAACAAGTATATGTTTGCTCTGAAGGTAATCCATCAATTACTGCAGGCCTATCAGATGATGACGGTGCTGATGCCGATCTGGGATGGGGGAGGTGTGGGTCTTCTCTCTCCCACTTTGCACCGTCCACATCTTTCCCTCCCTCTCTTTCTCTCCCAGCCTCATGTGCTCTATCTTTCCACAGCTATTAGGATCGGTTTGAGGCTAGCACTGACTGAATTTGAGCTGATATACTCCAGTCTTTCATCCAGCGGTGCTGAGAGGTGCACTACAGCACTAGACGTAGCTGTTGTGTGGGTGCGGGGAGGGCGGGATGGGGTGCCTGTCCTGGGGAGAAACGGGACCATAACGACTGGTACTAGCATGTGGCCTTGTCCCTCTCTCCTCTCATAGATGGTTCAGATGGCTCTGGCCCAAACAGTGATTCTCAGGGTAGTGTGGAGAGTTTACGGAAGCACCTGAGGGCTGATGCCTTCACTCAACAGCAGCTGGAGGCTCTGGATCGGGTGTTTGAGCGGCCGTCATACCCCGACGTCTTCCCTACGTCAGAACACATCAAGCCAGAGCAGGTTAGTAATATTGAGGCAAATGGACGCATACTAACAAACTAATTCATAAACAAAAAATCTGGAGATTGTTTGCGGTACTCATTTTAAAACGGAGTGTGTGCGGACAGCAGAGCTCATTCGAACCGACAGATGTTTATTTTTCTTAAGATGAACTAGTGAAATCAAGTCACCATTCGATTTAATCCCAGACAAATGTTAACTGATGCATCTTGCCCAAGCATCACTAATATATGCATTAAATAGTGTAAGGTGCATTAAAGCCAGATTAATGTAGTTTTTAATAATTGCACATCAACATGAATCCGCTGATACGAATACAAAAAATAATTGACAAATCTTCAGTCTCATGAAAAATTATGCTGTGAAAAACAATTTTAAAAAAACTCCACCTTGTATATACAAGCTCTTATTTAAAGCTTTCGGCTTATTACAGGAGATAAGCTTTATTTACTTTCATTATACTATCAAACAACCAGTGACTATTAATTTTTCCCTTGAAACTCCAAGTAGAGGCCCATAAAGCAAAAGCAGTGGCCTAATTGAGTTCATTTTAATTTCTCTCCGATCGCAGAGAATTACACTGGTGATAAATCAGGGGGACAGCCCTCACCCCTAGTAGAGGGCCTAATTTGCAGCTAATTACAAAACTGATTTCTACTGGAAGATCAATACCAAAACGAATTGGAAATGACTTGCAATCACAAAGAGAAGCTAAGAAGGTATTAAAAAAGGCAAGGAAAGAGGCTAAACAAGAGGGATAAAACAGCCCTGGAACAGTCCAGAAAAATCACTTTTAATTTAATATAATATTAATCAGACTACATTCCCATTTATTGGTCCGTTTTTGTGCCCCCTTTTTAACTCTTGAAAGAGTGGACCTATTAGCCATGTCTGGTGTGTGAGGCCGGGCATTAAAAAGCCATTTTGAAAATGCTAAACTCAATGGGCTCACCCCTCCCACACTTCTGCCAGCCATTTGGTCATCCTTTTCAGATGGCTCTTCAGTTGCCCCACGCCCAACTTGCCCCTTTCTGCATGATAAAATAGCTGTTGTGCATCTGAGGCCAGACCAAATAGAGAGGAACATCCGCTACTGGCCAACTGAACATTTGTAGCAGACAATTAGAGTTTATCTGGAATAGAGACAGACAAGTCTGGGGTCACAGCATTTCCCATTGGGACACCGGCCCTATTGTGGTGCGCAGATGCACGAACGCACACATGCACGCAGACGTATACGAACATATGTACGCTCACAGTTTAATTCGCAAGGAACAATGGTAGCCGGAAATCTATTATAATTTGTTGCATTCGTTACAAAGAAATCTATTTAAAGAAAACCATAGTACCACAAATGACCTCAAATGCAACTTAATCCAACAAATGTAAGCGTCAATGTTTTAGCATTTAAAAATTATAACAGAAAGCTGTTTCGGGATTATGTTCGTGTCATCATTTTCTCATCCTAAAGAAAACAATTACAAATGGTCTCGAAACGAGGCCATGTTGGTAATCGAACAAAGCGCACCCGTCTCCTCCCTTGGCTGGTCAGGGGAATGACTGCAGTCAAGCACAAAGAGACAGCTGACACCCCTTCCTTTCAGTCTGTTCCAAATCCTACTCTCTGTCCCGCTCACATCCTTAATGTATGCACACACGGTTCACATTAACTCCACCAAAACCCACATGCACTGACTGGGGGAAATAAAAGTAATGTGCAAGTTTAGTACAACTGGATTTCAGGTGCCCATTTACAAAGTCAAGTGACTGAGCCGCCGCTATATTAAATCCACTTTCCTTAAATCATAAGAAATATCATAAAAAGAAGAGAGAAATAAAATAATACAGGACTGGCAGCTCAGAGGAAGAAAGCTTTCTAATTGGACACCTTAAAAGTGATGCTTGGATCCCAAGATATATCTACTTAAAGTGTCCCCTCCCCTCATTGGCAGGCTAATGAATACTCGCTACCAGCACTGAACCCTGGACTGGACGAAGTCAAGCCCAGTCTGTCAACCAGCGTCAGCTCAGATTTGGGCTCCAGCGTGTCACAGAGCTACCCGGTAGTGACAGGTAAGAGCGCTGGATCCACCGTCCTGGCTGACCGTTAGAATACTGGCATATTATGTTCATATTCTAGACTATGTGACTGTTTTATGTGGTAAAGTGAGCTTTTTAAGTTGAGCGGACAGGTGAGAGTGGAATGTGACATGTTGATCTAAAGTGGATGGATTAGTGCTGCCTGCTCTGAGGGGCCGTGTAAGAAAGGAGCAATCGAAACAGACAGGCGCTGTTACTTGCATGCAAGAAGTGATTATGGAGATTTGTTGGCCGGTGTCACTGTTCAAAAACCAATGAATTGTTTTACTACTTCACCATTGTGTACTGAAATGTTTTCTTCAGCTCATAGTTCTCAGAAAGAAATATGGCGGCCTAGCACGGTTTGGCCTTTTAATGCCGAGGCATTTTTTTTCCTTGTGGTATGCGGTGGTTAATGTCAGCCTTGCTAATTGAAATATTGTTTCATTGTTGCGGCTGTTATTACCTCAGAGAAGGTTAAGTTTACTGATAGCCAACTGTCGTGCTGAGATTAATACGCTGAGCTTTTAATAAAATTCACATAATTATGCAGGAGCCATCAAAGCCAATGAGTTCTGTGTGGGCGGAGGACAGGATGATTGAAAATTGCTGTGCCCCCTTCTCAAATGATAGCTGGATAATGTTATGTGAGAAGAAAGGGCTTTTTCCCCCCCCTCGGTAATATGTGGGAGGTAGAGTTCCCTCCAGAAAGTTGGGCCTCTGGAGAAGAAAGGTGTGTTTTTGTCCTTTGTATGAAAGCAGTCTCGGTCTAGGGAGCACCCTCATGGCAGGTGGCCTTTCTTGCACCTGGGACGGGACACACCGGGGGTCTTAGTGCAGACCACCTCTTGCTTCTGGTAGAGCGTAGGAAATGGCCATGGTGGAGAGATTTTCAAATGGTTGCTTAAGGTTTTATTGTTGTTAATGATTTCACAACGGTGTCGGTTTATGCATGCATGATGAGAATGCTTACCCCTGGCAACCTAAATAACCTAAAAAAAAATACAGTTGTAATTATGTTCTAAAGCTTTTTCAGAATGTCTAGGCTCAAATGACATATCTTGAGAGTCTTATATATTAACTGTTCCATGTCGTATTCTAAATGACTTTTGGCAGTAATAACTTCATTTATTAAAAAAAAAAAAGCAAGAAAAGCAGTTCAAAGATGCAAAAACGTAATGTTATGGTGTACTCGCATGTGATAAACTGGAAATAAGAATAAGGACAGAGTTAAAGGAGGTGCTAAATTACCCTACGCATTTACACTGAGAGCCAATTCTGAATAAATTACTCCCTCTCATTGGATAGAGCTGGAGATTATGCTCATTCCCAGCAATGTTTTCCTGGGCCAATTAAAATTCACGCTGCCATTGATCTTGTTGATTTTATGTCGTGCGATTTGCATAATCTATTAAAGATGAATGATTAATGAACTCTTCATTACAAAACAGAAATTGGAATTTTAAGGGCACTACGAGGCATAGGAGACGTGTTTTTTGTGTTAACTGTTTACCCAATTAGTTTTAGGGGTTACTGCTCTGTACCTAAAGTCCTAAAGAAAAATGCATTTGAAAATGGCTTGCTATTGGACTGAAATTTATGATGCCTGATGAAATCTAATTAATTAAAAAAAAAACTTGTAGTAAAGTCTATTACTTTAAACAATGGAATAGATGCATACTTTTTTAGATAAATAATATAAATTCCTAGAAAGTACAGACAAGTTGTTGTGGGTTTATTTCTGTGCTTCTGTTGTTTTAAAGGGCTTCAGACTTATCAGAGGCAATACTTGCCCTTATGCGTCATGCACATTCCACACTTTCATGTATTAACTGTAGTAGAGGGAAAAAAAACAATGGCATGATTTATTCAAACTGCAGTAAAAAGTTTGGATGCTGTCCAGATATGGCTAGCTTTTTAAAAAGGCCATTTGCACATACCTTCACAATGAATGACTAGTGCGGATTCTTAAGCGCCGTCCCTGCCGAGCCGTATAATGGAAGTCTTCCTGGTGCCAGTAGGATGGTACTGTGTAAATGGGCACCCCTCCGATCCACTGAAAACCTGAGCAGGTGCTGAAGGGATCCCCCTTGTTCCAAATCTCTTCGGAGAGATGAGAGGAGAGGAGAAGTGGGGAGGAGGAGGAAAAAATGAGCGCCTGGGCCTGAAAGCAACAGAGCTCCATGTCTGAAAAAAAACAAGCAAGAAAAGTAAGAAAGAAAAGCAGCATACGCAGGCAGAGCGAAAGAAAAGACTGCTTTGTGTCGGCTTATGCTGCTGATGAACTCTGGCTGAAATATATCCGCCAGAGAGCCATTTTTTAAGTGTGGCCCGCTATTCTCCAGTGAGCAGCAAACAACACGCTGCCGGCTAGACTGAGGTACCTGATGTGTGGCCCGGTGACAAACTGCCTCTGTCTTGAGTCACCAGAAGCCCCGGCAGGCCCTAGAGCCCAAATTAATGTTTATTTCAGACTCACAATAGCACACTAACCTTTGAGCACACATTTGATAATGAATGACTTTAGGAACTTATATTGGGGATTCAAGCAATTTGGCCGTTCAAACGGGTGAAGCAGGCTATTCCGTTTTTCCCTGTGACAAAATGTTGAAAATTGAGGTCAAAGATTGCAGTACTGTTACAAAACATTGTGGTGTCTGTGATTATAAGTTGTTGTTTTTTTTTTATCTCATCTCTATGGCAAGTGACTTTGCTGGAGCTGTTGGGTTTTTAAAAAAAGGAAGTCATTCCTCTCTCTCTCTTCACCCATGTGAAACATGTGTGCATTCATGAGAGCGAGAGACAGACGTGGAGAACTCTATAGCTCTTGTTCGTGTTGAGATGTGATGCGCCTCCACATAGACCAGTGTTTATCTTCCATCTCAGTAATCAGGAGGTTGACAGCCTTCCTTTTTGCAGGTCTTGCTTGTTTCCAGGACAATAAGCAACACCACCTCTGATTAGTTTCAGAGTTCAGTGATCTTGAACACTGAGCTTCGGTCAGTGTAGCGAACGCCCTTGTCTGCTTTACAGCGGCAAAGCAGAGGCCGTGAAAACGCGAGGCCTAATTCCTCCGACAGCCTCTCTTCCTTTTCTCCTTTATTGGCATCTAAGGTTTTTTATTTTTGAAGTTAGGCTTTATGGCCGTCATCTTCTTCATTTCTCTGAAATATAGTCATCTAAACGCCTCGTTTCTGTGTGTCTCTCGATTAAAAACCGTCATGTTTATCCTGCTCCTGCTGTATGAAGATTCGGCTGTTAGTCCCAGACTCGCTCAGGAAAGGAAATTCTGCCATTGATTTGTGTGGGAAAGAGGCCAGTTAAGTTGCCTGATTTCCTGGCATTAGGTCAGAACGGGTTGTCAGGTTGCGTCTGGCAACAAGGAGGCCTTATCTTAATGAGCGACTCTCTGCACATAGCTTGGTTGTAAAACAACAATAGTTGGGAAATGGCTAATGAGGCTATCATGAAGCTGTGAGAGCCCTCCCCACAGACCGTGTTAACAGCAGAGGATGTTAAAGAGGATGAGTGGAGAGAGAGATGAAGACAGAGCTCACATTGATTGCTCGAGCTGCAGTCGCAAACCCGCTAAGATGAGAAATGCCAAACCTCATCATCCAAATGATATTACGGCTGGCAATGCGAAGGGGCTGTGTTGCGATTTGCAGGCTTTTTGTTTGGAGATGCGACTCTTACCTCTGAACCTTAGGGAAATTCGAGCATGATTGATCTGCGAGCCAAGCTGCTGTTTGCTGATGCTATTCTAGAGATATAGTTTCATAGTGATTTACCTGTTTATATTTGCTCATTTTTAGCTCATTCAGTGGATAAATAATTTCAATCAGGTTTGTATAAAAATGTTGCTTTATTTAGATTTAGATATAAATCTAAAGTTGATAGACGACTCTGAAAGTCTTTGTTATGGAGCAAATTATATGTTTCTTTTCATTCACAGAAAAACTAGATAGAAAAAACAATGGAACCAAAGATTTCTCTGATCCGTTTACAAGAAAAAAAAATATGTTCTAATCTATTCTGTTTGTAAGTATGAATAAGCAGGGCCTAAAACAAACACTTGCCAACTGGGTAAAATGCAAGTAAAATATAGCTGGCCTGTAACTTTCCAAAAACTCCCAAGTATGGAGAACCACTGCGATATTACGAATCAGTTTCTTTTTACAATGTGAGTGAATCAAATCTACAGTGACTATTGCATCTATAACAATGTTCACACCAACACAAAATTTTCCACAATAAATTCTTTCTATTTAAATTATGTCGAAACTTCTACATTTGTAGAGATATATTCCTGGCACCAAGCCACCAAAAGAAATAAAATCACATTTTTGTGCGAGGCGATGTTTTACTGAGAGATGCTGTGACTACTAATGCCTTTACTGCCAGCTGTAAATTTACTGAAAAGCAGAAATGAATAATTATTTTGTCATAGAAAGAAAAATAAATATAAATATTTGTACATTAATATTGCAAAAAAATTTATAATAAAAAAAAAAATTGGCAGCACATATGTGTGGCAGAAGTTTTAAAGCATCCTTGATGTAATTATTTGTGGATCAGTGTTCGCACATAAAACCCTCACATAGTACAAGTGCACAGCCACATTTCCTGGCTTTCCATGACCAAATCCCCTCGTGCGTGTAGAAATGTTGTTTTCTGAGCGTGTGCCTCAGGAGGCTCTGTTAAAACTCCTGAACACACCCGAGGAACTGAGTCAGAACACCACGGCAGTCGTAACTTCACATAAATCCTTATATTCCTCCTAAACGCAATGTAGCATCACAACAACACCAAACACTGTCAGCCAAACTTCATTTTCCTTTTTTTTTACTGCTTCCATTCAGTACTTCCATCTGTCATGATTCATCTTTGTTTTTGTTTTTTTGCTGAGTGCGAGCGATTGTGCATTGTCTGATTGTGTGTGTGTGGCTTTTTTGTTGTTTTTCTCCACCTGGCAGAGTCACATTCATCCTCCGTGTGTGTTAAGCAGGAGCCCCATGAGGCTTCCCTGGCTCCTTTCACCCCTTCCTCACTGGCAGTCTCGGGCCTAGCGGAACTGTTGCCCCTCCAGCCCAGCGTGTCAGTAGATGCCTCCACCCCCTGCTACGGTGCCTATGCCCATCATGCCCCCAGCTACAGCCAGTATGCAAGCCAGCCTATTATAGCAGGTACAGATAAATAAATAAAAATAAAATAATAATAATACAAAGAAAGATTAGAAAACGTACCCTGTGCTGGTAAAGGGGGAAACAACCAAAGGTGTCATGCTTTTTTTTTTTTGATGGGGCAGCAATGGCAGTCCAAGGTCATTTGCCCTACACAAAATAAGACATTACAAAAAGAAGGTAAAATTACTCTTTAACTAATTTTCATTTAAGTGTGCACTACTGTTCAAAAGTTTAGGGTCAGTTAGATTTTATTTTTATTTTTTTTGAAAGAAATTAATACTTTTAATTGCATATATGCATTAAATTGATTAAAAGTGACAGTAAAGTCTTTTATATTATTTTACAGTAGAAAAAGATATATCAAATAAATGCTGTTCTATTTAACTTTTTAATCACCAACGAATCTTAAAAAAAGGGTTTAGCACTACTGTTTTCAACATTGATAATAATAAGAAATATTTCTTGAGCAGAAAATCAGCATATTAGAATGATTTCTGAAGGATCATGTGACACTGAAGACTGGAGCAATGGCTGCTGAAAATTCAGCTTTACCATCAATGGAATAAATTACATTTAACATTAACAATTTACAAAATACATTAAAATAGAAAAAAAATTTTTTAATTGCAATAATATTTTACTGTAAAAAAAAATTACTGACCCAAAACTTTTGAAAGGTATGGTGTATATAAAAAATGGTATATATATACTGTAAAATTGCAACATTTTTAAAAGATACAAATATTTTTTTAAATGTCATTTAAAATCTAATTTACTCAAAAATCCATTGAGGCACATTCCATGGCGCTGCTGGAGACGGCTACTGTTCTGTACGGTCCTGAAAAGTACTGATAATTCTTCTCTAGTCTCTAGTACTTTGATTTTATTTTATGATTAAAAGCCTCTGTATTAGTATTTCTAACATGCTTGTTAATGTGTGAGTGGAATTGTGTGTGGAATTGTCTCTATAACTGCAAATTTTGCTCATATTTTTAGTTAATGACCAAAAACAAGACAACAACTCGGTTGTAATTTGCCCTTTGTTCACATTAATTAAACCAAAAGCACAACATCACACTAAAACACAGATTTTCACATTGCTTACTGACTTAGTGTGCCACTCTTACTGGCAGCTCTCTTATTAGTAACTAGAATGGGGTAGCACCCCCCCCCTCAACCCTCACTGGTCCTCTTTCAAACAATGATGCGGGACCTCGCGAGGGCCCATTCGGGACTGACGAAGGCCTACGTGCTGTAAAGTTTGCGCCAGCACATCCAGCAGGATTGCTAGCCGTCACCTCCAATTACAGAACTGAATATGGAGGCAGTGTGCACTCTGCACTCTCGTGATGTTCTGGGCTTTTTTAGCAGCAGCGATGCCACCAGCAGGCCGAGGGCATTCTGTGCTTCTCTCTGTCGAGCAGTTTAAAATATTTCAGTCAAAACAGGCCAGCAGCGCCACTCTGTGTAATAGAGGAAGTTAAAAGGCCGAGTGACCTAGAAGAGAAAAAAAGGGGAGAGTTGTTTTTAGCTTCTGCAGGCTCATCAGTTTTTCAAGTTGTGAATTTATGGAGAGGTGATCATTACCCTACTGTATGTTCGGCTTGTGGGTTTTCTAGTTATTTGTTTACAAATAAAAAGCTACAGCTGACTTCAGTTTCCTCAGATTTTCAGAGAAAAGGGTTACAGGGTTGTGTTTTTAAGGAAACCAATATGTTTGAGTATTTTTATTATTGATGTGCATGGTGTAAGTAGTTTAATGCATGGGGTGCTTTTCCACTTTATTCTATGCATCATAATTTTTAATGTATCAAAATATGTGGAGTTTACTGTATCTTTAAAAGAAACTACACAAATACTTTATATAATCGTAATTTCTGGATGATTTTCCTCTGCAGTTTTATTATTATTAATTTTATTATAAAGATTTTAGGATAACCGTACATCCAGCACCCGTTGACATTTTTTTTAATTATAATTATTAATTAATTAATTTTTTTCTTTTTTGTGGAGCTGCCCTCACAAACTTTGACTTTCTTTCCAGGTCGAGACATGGCGAGCACAACCCTACCAGGATACCCACCTCACGTTCCCCCCACTGGGCAGGGCAGCTACCCCACCTCTACACTTGCTGGAATGGTCCCTGGTAAGTGTAATTACTATTTTTACGAGGACGTTAATTTTAAGAGAGCTCGTAATATTTTCAGCGAATAGTCCTCGGCAATTGATCATCTTCAGGAAACCCGAGGTCATGCAAAGCCAACTTGAATTTGCACTGCTGCACCTGGAAAATAAAACAGCGATTTGATAACAATTTTGCATTAATATTCAATTAGCATTGGCCCAGAGCTTCCTTTCCTGTTTGAATACATTAGTGTAGAATGCCAGGTAACATTTTAAGAATGAGAGTTGTGAAAGAGAAGTGACACAAGCATATTGCCCATGACATTTCTGGTGATGCTAATGTTTATTAAACAGGATAATATTAATGAGGAGCATAATATTAATGAGAAAAAGATTAATGAGGAGCCGTAATTGCAGGATGGCTGCAAAGACAACAGTGGGCAGTGTGAATCTCGATCTCGACTCGTCAATAACCTGAGAAGGAGCCTCAGCTTATCGGCTGCCGAGGAGAAAATTAAGTGCGGGATATAGGACAGTTCCTCTCAGTTCCACTCGGGTTCCAGTGCTCATTACGCCCCTCCCTCGCTCTCCTGGACCGTTCGACGCTCTCACAGGCCATCGATAAACATAGCTTTCTCCACCCTGCCTCCAGTGCTGCAGAGCGTATCTCTTTTCCCCTCTACTTAACCTGCAGTTCAGGTTCACAGCAAACAGTTAAGGGTCACAAAACAGTGGGCAGGAAGGCCTGTAAATATTTAAATCACTATCTCTCAGAGGGACCCGACTTGAGTTTCACTGCCAGGACAGGATGCAATCTGGCAGCAAAACCGGTGCCCTCTCCCCAAACAGCACAAACACACACATACGTATGCAAACGGACGCTCTGAGAGGAGCCGCAGAGAAGTCGTAAAAGTGTAAATGCAGTTAGCATCAGGATAACATCAGCGCTCGCAAAGGCCAAGCACAAACATGCAGTGTGCGAGGAGACGGCTGCTGTCCTGTACTGTCCTGAAAAGTACTGTTAATTCTTGTCTAGTCTCTAGTACTTTGATTTTATTTATGTATATTATTGAAAGTCTCTGTATTAGTATTTCTAACATGCTTGTTAATGTGTGTGTGGGATTGCGTGTCTGTCATACTCTGTAACTGCGTTTATATTTTTAGTTAATGACCAAAAACAAGAAAACAACTCAGTTGTAATTTGCCCTTTGTTCCTATTTATTAAACCAAAAGCACAAGATCACACTAAAAAACAGATTTTCAACATTGCTTATCATCCTAGTGCGCCACTTTGCCTGGTGGCTCTCTTATTAGTAACTGGACTGTGGTAGCGCTTCCCCCACCCATCCCTCACTGGTGCCCTTTCAAACAATGATGCGGGACCCCGCGAGGGCCCATTCGGGACTGACGAAGGCCTACGTGCTGTAAAGTTTGCGCCAGCACATCCAGCAGGATTGCTAGCTGTCACCTCCAATTACAGAACTGAATATGGAGGCATTGTGCGCTCTGCACTTCCGTGATGTTCTGGGCTTTTTTAGCAGCAGTGATGCCACCAGCAGGCCGAGGGCATTCTGTGCTTCTCTCTGTCGAGCAGTTTAAAATATTTCAGTCAAAACAGGCCAGCAGCGCCACTCTGTGTAATAGAGGAAGTTAAAAGGCCGAGTGACCTAGAAAAGAAAAAAAGCAGTTGTTTTTAGCTTCTGCAGGGTCATCGGTTTTTCAAGTTGTGAATTTAAGGAGAGGTGATCATTACTGTATGTTTGGCATGTGGGTTTTCTAGTTATTTGTTTACAATAAAAAAAGCTGAAAAGGGTTACAGGGTTGTGTTTTTAAGGAAAACAAATATGTTTGAGTATTGTTATCATTAATGTGCATGGTGTAACACTAGTTTAATGCATGGGGTGCTTTTCCACTTTATTCTATGCATCATAATTTTTAATGTATCAAAATATGTGTTTTTACTGTATCTTTTAGATATTTTACAGAATATCTAAAAGAAATTATAGAAATACTGAATATATATATAAAATAAAAATCTTAAATTCTGGACGATTTTCCTCTTCAGTTTTACTACTACTACTATTATTATAATTATTATTATAAAGATTTTAGGATAACCATATATCCAGCACCCATTTAATTTTTTTATTTATTTATTTTTGTGCAGCTGCCCTCACAACCTTTGACTTTCTTTACAGGTCGAGACATGGCGAGCACAACCCTACCAGGATACCCACCTCACGTTCCCCCCACTGGGCAGGGCAGCTACCCCACCTCTACACTTGCTGGAATGGTCCCTGGTAAGTGTAATTACTATTTTTATGAGGACGTTAATTTTAAGAGAGCTCGTAATATTTTCAGCGAACAGTCCTCGGCAATTGATCATCTTCAGGAAACCTGAGGTCATGCAAAGCCAACTTGAATTTGCACTGCTGCACCTGGAAAATAAAATAGTCATTTGATAAGAATTTTGCATTAACATTCGATTAGCATTGGCCCCAAAGCTTCCTTTCCTGTTTGAATATATTAGTGCAGAATGCCAGGTAACATTTTAAGAATGAGAGTTGTGAAAGAGAAGTGACACAAGCATATTGCCCATGACATTTCTGGTGATGCTAATGTTTATTAAACAGGATAATATTAATGAGGAGCATAATATTAATGAGAAAAAGATTAATGAGGAGCCGTAATTGCAGGATGGCTGCAAAGACAACAGTGGGCAGTGTGAATCTCGATCTCGACTCGTCAATAACCTGAGAAGGAGCCTCAGCTTATCGGCTGCCGAGGAGAAAATTAAGTGCGGGATATAGGACAGTTCCTCTCAGTTCCACTCGGGTTCCAGTGCTCATTACGCCCCTCCCTCGCTCTCCTGGACCGTTCGACGCTCTCACAGGCCATCGATAAACATAGCTTTCTCCACCCTGCCTCCAGTGCTGCAGAGCGTATCTCTTTTCCCCTCTACTTAACCTGCAGTTCAGGTTCACAGCAAACAGTTAAGGGTCACAAAACAGCGGGCGGGAAGGCCTGTAAATATTTAAATCACTATCTCTCAGAGGGACCCGACTTGAGTTTCACTGCCAGGACAGGATGCAATCTGGCAGCAAAACCGGTGCCCTCTCCCCAAACAGCACAAACACACACATACGTATGCAAACGGACGCTCTGAGAGGAGCCGCAGAGAAGTCGTAAAAGTGTAAATGCAGTTAGCATCAGGATAACATCAGCGCTCGCAAAGGCCCATGCAGTGTGTGCAGTGTGCGAAAATTGGAAAACAAATATTTTACATCAAACACAGAGAGGGATTCTTCTCGTTGAGTGCTTTCATCAAAGATTCATTTTCATTGGTCACACAGGCTGAGAAATCCTCTTAAATCCTAGAGCCATGGGTTTTGTGTGCACTTCCATTCATCTGGCCCTCGAACGACTAAGATTTAGTGACAGACCCCAAACACTGTTAAAGCAAAAGCCATTCCTCACCAGCTTCATATAAAACCCAGCCTTTATTGTCTCATAAAAGAAAGAAACGTGGGGGACCAACAGCATTGCTCACTGACATGGACAGGGCCGCTTCCTGAAAGTCGAATTCGGACGAATAAAAAGGGCAGAGTGTGTGCGAGAACGAATCCATTGGGGAGGTTTTTTGAAGCCGGGCTTTGGTGCGGCCAAAGAATAGAGAATCTTAAGAGCGCAACAGCAGAATCAAAGAAAGGAAACTTCAAAACCCAGCTCAGGATTAATGTAACAAATTCAGCCAAAATGGCCGAGCACCAGGGCGTAGGAAAGAGGACAGGGCGAGCCATCTGCTAGCTAGCGCTGTGAAACAATGCCAGTTCCTTTAGTTCTGATGTGCTGAACTAATGCGATGCAATATTTCGAGCACAGCATTACTTTAATTCAGTAATTCAGTTAAGCTCAATCGACAGCATATGTCATTACCTTACCTTAAAAATTCATTTCTACTTGTCCCTTCTTTGAATTTGAATTACACTGTAAAAAAATATTTTTTGTTGTAAAAAACAACCATTATTGGAGTAGATTTTACAAGGAAAAAACTATTTCAGTCTTTCTACTTCAAAAGTATACATTTAATTCAGGTTTCTTGTAATTATTTGTGAAATTTACTAGCATTTTTTTTTAATGGTTTAAAAGTAAATCCTTCACATTTTTTTCAGTGTACAGTAAGGTTCTTTAAAGAGGCAAATCTGTAAACATTAAAATACTCTCTGTTTCAATTGTATAGACCCAAAATGGAAACAATAAGCATGTTAACATCATTTTAGTGTAAAAAAAAATGTTTACTTGCCTTTTTTGTGTAAAGGTATAACTGATTTTGCAACTTCATTGTCATCACAACAATACAATGCCATAAATGCCAAAAAAAAAGAAAATATTTGTACAGCTTTACAGCTCAAATAATGCACAGGTTAACAGATTAAATAACTGGAGTGCTTTTATGAAATTTCAAATCTCTTTAAAAACCTTCGAAACTGTCTTAAAAAAATATAAGTTCTTCATCATAAGCTGATTTATTTTTATTTTTTATTTTTTTTTAGGGATGCATCAAAATGACTTTTTGTGTTGATGAACATTATTCCAATATTGCTGACAGTCAAGCTTTATTTCATCCTGAATGCATGAATATCCCTTTAAGGTACACAATTTGCTTTACTGCTAACCTGTCACTTGTGTTTGATTTCAGGAAGCGACTTTTCAGGAAATCCCTACTCTCACCCGCAGTACACAACTTACAATGAAGCTTGGCGGTTCAGCAACCCCGCGTTATTAAGTGAGTATTAACCCTTTTTGCTTATCCCTTATGGGATTAGTCGCTTTAAAGTGGGATTAATACAATCACATTTTACAATGACATTATTTGCATACAGCTTTACTAAACTAGCTACAGTTTTATTTCTCTTTTTGATTAGCGAGGTCATAACACGCCGCATCTCTAAATTAAGACACGCATAAGCCCTTCGCAAGTGTTTTTGTGCGTGCCAAGGTTTCCGAACATAATAGAATAGTCTGATTGTATTTTACATAAGCAAAATGATTAGGAGTGGGCGTAAGTGTTGCTCTTGCTGTGGTTTCAAACGCTCCGCTCTTCTGTTAACTTCCAGGTTCCCCTTATTATTATAGTGCCGCATCCCGGGGCTCCGCCCCTCCCACTGCTGCCTATGACCGCCACTAGTTACCATGGCAACCCAATCAAACTGCAGGACCATGGCCGCGGCCTCCATATCGTACCAGTATGAATGGCGTTAAGGTCAGAGGGATTGAAGATGGCTACGCGATCTTCAGTTTCACGGGGCCAAGATCGGATTAGGAGGGTCAAGCAACAGCGGGTTTCCCCCCCCAGACATCGACTATACCCCCCTCACGCAACATCAACACTAAGGCTCTCATTCTCTAAATCACTGAACAATGACTGAACTATTTCCTGAAAGACTTTGAAAGATTCTACAAAAATATATATATTATACAAGATATAAAACAAGACGAACCGTGTGAAGAAATACCAAGTAACAATTGATGTGTTGTTGTTTTTTTGTTTTTTGTTCTCTTTAAATCAATCAATACATTCCTTTACATACTGTATTTAGTATCACTAACAGATCACACACACACACACACACACACACACACACACAAGGTTGCCTGAGGCCTTTAACGTAATTTGCCCTTGTCCTACACCATTTCACTAGTGTCTTACCTCTCACGGACAGAACAGTGACGTGTCAGCTGAGCAGAAAACTGCAGTATTGCTCCATTTTCTGTCAAACAGACAAGTGTAACAGTTTTAGAAGCCATCTCTGACTCGTGGTATGAAATTACCAACATGATTTAACATTTTCTGTGATACACAATCAAAATGGGGGAAAAGAAAATAGAAAAAAAAAGAAAAACAGGTCAGACACTGAAGAAGACGTTAACTGTTGCTGTATATGACCTGAAAAGAAAACCGTATATTAAATTATTGTTTTGGTTTAGCTGATGGTTTGTGTGCGTGTGTACATTTGTGTGTCATACCTTTTCGGGATATTCCATTTTACCATGTGTAATCTCTAATATCATGATCGGTGCCGCTCTTTTCTCGTTTGCACTATTTTGCATTACTGGATTTATAAGTACAATTGAATCTTCAAAAGTTTGTCAGATTACATGCTCTATTTAAGCAAAAAGGTCAACTCGAATTGTCAAAGTAACTGCAACACTGGACAAGAATACACTTGCTATACGCTAGAAACTAGTATATGCCTTTTTTGTCCTTCAGTGTGGATTCCTTTAAAAAAAAGTCCGCAAAAGAACCATTTTTGTATCGTGTTACTGAGACAGATTGACTCTGGCTGGCTCAGTACCAAAGTAATCATTAGCAGTCAATTGTACAACAAGTTCAACAAATGCCTTACAGCTTTTTTTTATTTCATTTTTTTAAGGTTTGGCTATGGTCCTGAGAGGTAGACATGCATGTAACCCTTCTGTGTGGATGAACAAACGTTTATCCACCGAGGACAGAAATGGAAATGGTCCACACATACGCTCCTGGAAATGTAAAGTGAATGTACTTTATACCACGTTTGCCAAAGACTTAGTTTGATATTTAATATTTTATTTGCTGTATCTGTCAATAAAACAGTATTATGTTCTAATAGTAGTCAATACTGATTGTATGTGGTAATGTTGAACAAAAAGGAAAAGATCCATCATAGCCCCACAGCAATGTACTCAAAAAAGGTGAATTCTGTTACTCAAAGGTATGTCATTTGCAACAAACTGCTGCTTTGTAGAATGATTTGTGTATAGTGTGAAAACAATTCTTCTATGTATATAAGATCACCTACATTTCACCATTGCAGTATCGTACTAATTTACTGATTCCATTTGTAGATATGAGAATTGAAAGAAGAAAAAGATTTGACATTACATTTGTGTCTTCAATGTGTTGTGCTTTGCAGAGACGCGCAACAAAAAGTTTGAAACCTGTCCTGTGTCGGTGGGTGGGTTTTAGATGCTATCACCACATGTGCGGCTGTTTGTATGTTTTGTTTTGGTTCACTTTTACTTAACTTGTTCATACTGTTTAAGTCTCTATGCAAATCAAGTAAATGGTATTCTGTATTCTCCTTTACTACTGCGTTCAATTTTACCCTTCATTTTAAATGATCCCTAAATTCTGTATAGAGGATAAGCCTGTAGAAATGAACAAATACATTTCACATGCCTGGTTTTGTGGATTGTTTTTGTACCTTGAACCTTCCTGTACAATTCAATACAAGACTTCAGAATTCTGAAGGTTTTTTTTTTTTTTTTTTGCCAATATTAAGTTATTTTACTACAGGAGCAGATTATTCAAAATTCATAGCATGCAAATGGAGGAAAAAGTCAACAAATATAACTATACATTAATGTACACACAGGACAAGTTCTAATTCAATCAATACAAAAATAAAAATACAATTATTTGGGTCTTCTTTATTATTATTTCAGCTACCAAGTTAAACTATTGTCCCACTTAGAATGAAGAGATTGTTACCCACTCACTGCAATCCACATTTGTTTGTGGCTTTTGGAAACATGTTCTTGACAGAATTCATTTTAAAACAAGCCAACAGCAGCAGAGCAGAAACAGAGACAATTCTCCTCTCCTTACGTTAAAATAATGCAAAATACTTTATGTATCACAAACGTAATTTGTTGTGGGCAAAAAAATTTTTTTTTTTTTAATATGTAACAAAAAGCAACATGGCCTCAGCCATTACTTTTATTCCACCTCTGTCCAGTTCTTTTTTTTTGTGTGTGCATATGAGAAATACATTTTTTGTATGTCAGCATGTGACCGTAGTGGTGATTATTAACCCTTTCATGAAAGATTCCTTCAAGGATATGCTGAGCTGCAAGACATTTATTGTGTAGTAACACTCGTTATGAACGTATCATCATTTGTTTAGTTAGTGAAGAACAAATAAAATTACACATTGTTTAAAGAAGTGAGGCTAGAATACAAGGAATTCAAAATATTAAAAACAAGTTAAAAGACAAAAAAAAGAAAAAATATTGAAACCATATATATATTAGAAAATGGTATATATATATATATATATACAGTATATACTCTTTGTATATAGTATATACAACATACTACAATATACAATATCAATTAATGTTATTTTAAAAATGTGTATATAAAATTAAAATGATATTACAATTGATATTATATATAATATAAAAAAACAAAATGTATACAAATTAGGGGTGGGCGATATGGCAAACATATCATATCACGATTTTTTTTTTTTTTTTTAGAAATATCATGATTCACAATTTTATCATGATTCTTTGTCATGTTGGTTTTACTATTTTACAAGTTGTCTGAGCATTACAGCCAAACTAATTTCCCTATTATAAAGACAAAGCCTTTCAAGGTAACAAAATATAAAAAAGAATGGCAGATATTTAGGCCAAAGTGGGCGAAGATAAAAATCTGTCATTATTTTATCTTTGTTATTAAAAATGAGAACAAAAATACACATTACAAATACACATAATATACAAATAAAACGCCTATTGTACCTGTTTTATTTTCACGTACAATAGGTGTATTTAGCAGGAGCATTCAAGAAATTGAATGAACAAATATAAAAATAAAACACTATATATTGATTCCTATTAAAGCAACTGTATTAAAGTTTTTCAGTCAAGAGTAGTGAGTGATTTTTCTCTTTGTGTTTTGTTGTTTTATTAACATTAAAGGAATAATTCACCCAAAAATAAAAATAGTGTTTTATTTTCATACCATCATTTACTCACTCAAAAGTTGTTTTAAACCTGAATGAGTTTCTTTCTTCTGCTGAACATAAATGCTATTTTGAAGAACGTGGAAAACCAAAGAGTTGCTGGTCCATA